GGAAACAACAAATGGACAGATAGAATGATTATAATCCATGCCTCGGTCCATATGATATCTAGAATGGAGGAATATATGATCCCTTATCTAATGGACACGTCATTGACTAGGTCAGAGTTCGACATCGTCTTTTAAGAGCTACGATTGCTAGTCGGGATCTTAGAGTCATACGCAATGATAGTTTTAGACTTATCCAAGTGGTAGACTGTTGGATTAGATGTCTAAGCCCATAACTATTATTGGTATGTACTCGACCCGAGAGTAGCATGGTCCATTTGGGTTGCATAACACCAGGACAATTTGTTAGGATGGACTTTTGAGAGAAGGTTATATATGATTTATTAATATATTATAAGTTATAATATATTAATATGAAATCATATGTTTTAATTAGTATTGATCAAGAATTAATTTGGAATTAATTTAGTGATCAAAAGAGACTAATTAAATCTATGGGGACTAATTATGGTAATTAGTTATATTTATATGTGTTGGGCTTATGATCCATGTTGGACCAAGTTTATGTAAGGATACATAAATAGTTGGGCCACATGAACCATGGATCATAAAACCCATGGGTATGGGTTTGGGTTATACCCATGACTCTTAGAATTCAACACATATAAATACATATATGATGACCTAAAACCGCCACTCTTGTGTGTGTGCATGTTTTTATTGTTCATGAAGGTTTTTGGTGCATGGAGTTTCTCTCTCAAGAGTCACCTTTGTTCTAGGTGAGTTGTGATTCCATTTAAGGTGCAACACTTGGGGCACTAAGTTCTTAAAGGCCAAATGCATCAAGACTTACAGCCACATAAAAGGTATGTTACACTAACTAGCATCTTGTGTAGTTTACATCTTTGCATGCTAGTTATAGGCTTAATACCGTGGAAACACCTTTGCATGTATAATTAGTGAAAACATATATCCAAGGTATTTAGGGTTGTATGTGCACCATATGATGTTGTAGTATACCAAAACCCATCACCGTGATGGCCGGGAACCGTTATATCTCGATTTAGGGAGGGGTTGTCGCAAATCGAAAGGATTGGAGGAGTAATTCACGCATAGATTCGCGGATCTCGGGTCATGATTTGAGTATAAGATTGGATACGAGTGGTTCCAATTATGTTTGGATACGAGTAATTCACGCATATGATGTTGGGATTTCGGATTTTTCACATGGGTTTCATTCTGAGTGGGGATGGTTTCCATCTGATGTTTTAGACCTGGGTGGATCGGTTCGTTGGTTTGAGGAGGACCACGACAAGAATGAAATTAGTAAGGGCTAGACGACAGAGGTCGGAGATGATGTGTGACTACGTATCAGCGGTAATATTCGCTTGAGATAAAACAAACTTAGTGATTGCGTGTACAATGTGATTGGATTAGATAGCTTTGTTGGATAGAAGACTGTGGAATTCGTATTGTTGAATGTGCTAAGAGTAGCCTGAGGCGGTTCCACTTTTGGGTCAGGAGTCGATCTTGTCTTTGGAATTGGTTTCAAGCACTGAAAGGTATCTGGGGTTTATGTTTTGGATATCAGTGGATAGTTCCGGTCGGGCATGGTCTTTCAATGCTTGGTCGGATCTGAATCGTCCTAGTTTTGGTATTGGAATGGTTCTGACTGACAGGAGGTCAGACATTGTGAAGAGTTTGAGCTTCCATGCGGAATGGCAGAGTATTCCTTCGAGGTCTGAGGGCAGAGTATTGAGGAAGTGACAAGGTGATGTTTTTGCATGGGTGGTCTGTTGGGGAGCCAAACCAGTATTCATTTCAGGAGTTGGTGAGGCAGAGGTGGTCCTGTGGTGGCGAAGGTTCATCCTTTGCCGGGTTGGAGGTTTCTGTTGGATTCAGTTGTCTTGGGGATGTCGTGTTACGTTATGATTTTTTTTCTGTTGCGGTTCTCGGGTTGTTTGGGATAATCTGAGTGTTAGCAAGGAGCGATTTCGAGGGCGAAATCTAATTTTAGTGGGGGAGAGTTGTAACATCCTGTTTTCAGGTCGTTTTCTTTTCAGAATGGTGATCAAGGATTGGGTATTAGCGGGATTAGAATCCCCGAAGAAGTTAGTTTTGGGTTTAATTTGAGGTGGATGCTATATTTGATGTTTCGGGTATTTGGTTGCGACTTGGAGCAAAAAGGGTATTTCGGCAATTTGTCAGTCGGGCATTATGGGAAATGGATTTTAGGTTCGAGATATCTTATGGCAGGTATGAATTGATAATAGTGTTGAGCGTCTCGATGCCTTTCTATGGATATATGGATGGTTGAGACCGGAGTCGTATTGAGTGAGTTGTATCCTTCAGAAGAGTTAGGGTTAGGGGAAAACCCTAGTACGCGGGGCATACCAAGTTGTACGCAAGGCGTAACGAGGAGAAAAGGTGTACGCGAGGCGTAGCTGGGAAGAACGTGCAGCGTAGGTGCGAGGTTTGGGCCGGGGTGCGCAGCATCATACGCAGGGCGTACAATAAGGTACGCGGGGCGTAAGAGGGTCAGAATGAAAAACCCTAATTTTAGGGATGGACACTATATAAAGAACATAATGCCTCAAAGATCAGCCCCTCCGTCTCACCCTTAGACAGCTTTAACGAAACCCTAATCTTTCTTGTGTGTTCTTGGAGCTTAAAAGACCATTAGAAGAGTGTTTTGGTGATTTGGAAGAAGGTGCCCACTCATGAAGATTCATTGAAGAGGCTAGAGCTTTTAGATCCAGAACCTCTTCAGCTCTTGGGTCTCTTTTGAGGTATAATGTCTCAAGCTTGGTGGTTACTTTCTTAGATCTCTTTTGGGTTGAGTTTGTGGACTCTTTTGGTCCCAGTGATGAAGTCCCTTGAGTCTATGTCGTTTTTAGAGCTTTGAGTTGCCCCTCTCTGTGTTATTTGGGACCTAGAGTCATAAAGTTATCATCTTGGAATTCCTAATGGGTTCATGCAATAGTTAAGACCATTTTCATGAAAGTAGAATGCCATTTTTGGAGTTTGGGCTTATGTGGGGCATGCAAAGTCACCAAGTCAGTGACTTTATGGGTTTAGACGTTATTTGGGACTCAGATCTGTAGTTTGGACTTATGGCTTGAAGCATTAAGCGCCTAATGGAAATATGGGATTAAGAGGGGAGTACGCTGGGCGTACAAGCAGGTACGCGCAGCGTACAAGCCTCCAAGCGAGTACGCTATGTGTGCGTGTTAGTACACCCCACGTACTCTGTCTGAGTGGGTTTGCATATTTGGGCTTCGGTCTGGGTTGTCTTCTTGGGTCTAATTGTTTGGTGCTTTGTTGGGCCATCTGAGAAAAGGGTTATTTGGATTAGAGTTAAGTCGTGGGCTTAGAGTAAGGCCCAAGTAAGGGTTTGGGCCCATTTTTGAAAATCGGGCCATTAGTGGACCTTTTTGGTCTTGGGACTTGGTGGCTCAATGATTTGGGTCAGTAATGGGCCTGGTTAGATGGGCCATATATGGGGCATAGTGTTGGCGTATAGCCTTGTGTAGCTTTTGATTATAGTGTTAGGTTGTTTTGGCTTAGTTCAGGAGCCAGTGTGCAGCAGCAGCGACAGCGTAGGGTTTCTCTCATAGCAGTTGAGGTGAGTCTTCTCACCATACTTACCTGTGTGGTAATTTATGTGTAACCAGAGGGTCTTATTTGTGCCATTGATCGGAGGGTCTTGTTTGTGTTATTGATCGAAGGGTCTTATTTGAGTTATTGACCGGAGGGTCTTATTCGTGCTATCAACCGGAGGGTCTATCTACTTATACTAAGATATGTATTATTGTGCATTCTGTCATTGTGACTTATATGTTGCTATATGTGTATTATGCATTTTGCCCTTATGATTTATGCTCTTATTTTATTCTGTGCATATATTGAGTTATGACCGGAGGGTCCATACTAAGTCGTGAGACCGGAGGGTCCTTATCGAGATATAGCCATGAAAGGTTAATTATTTGTGTGTGGTATTTTGGGGGAACTCACTAAGCTTCGTGCTTACTGTGTTGAGTTAAATGTGTTTCAGGTACTTCTGTAGATTCCGGGAAGGTGGAGGCAAGATTGTACACATCCGACAGCTTATGGAGATTTGAGGATTTTGGGATACTCTGATATTGTTTTGATAATAACTTATAATTTTTGTGATGACTTGAATTTATGAGTAACGTTTTGAGAATTAAAAATGAAAATTTTGTCTTGAAATTTGAGGTGTTACATTGGGGATGGTTTGACCGTCGCTATTTTGGGTAAAGGGTAGATTTTGTTCGATAACAAAAATGGCGACCAAAGACTCCTTAATGGGGTACATATTATTAGTTTTGGACAAATGACGGAAGAATGGAGTCGGTCATAATGCATGGGTTGGATTTGACATTGGTTGACAGAAACAAAACTCAACTTTTGAGAGTTAAACGATCCCCAAACCGGTTATATAAAGCTCCTTTAAGGACTGGTAGACCGACTTGTCTTTTAGCAACAAAGGACGAACCAGCTTGGATATGACACTCCAGACTCGGTCATGTTAACTTTATCTCCTTAAAAAAGTTTGTCCACAAAGAATATGGAAAACGGAGTCCCAAACATTGAGCACCCAAACCAAGTATGTGAAGGGTGAGTAGTATTAGAGAGGGTTGTTCTTCTTTCTTGTAATAGAGAGTGTAAGTTCGTTTATTTTGTTCCAGTTCCGAATAAAAGTGTGTTTCAAACTCAATAGAAGGAACACGCAATCGTAAAGCTTTTTATACTGCATTCCTTTGTATTTGTAACCTAAACTGATAGTCAATAGAGTATTTATTTTTCTATCAAGTGCCAAAAACAATTACCAGTGATTTAATATTAGGAACCAAATCCGGTATAGATTAGGAACACAAATATGAGGGCGATTCAGTTTTTAATAATCAAAATATGTATCAGTATATCTTTTGTATCTTTTACATACTGTAGAGCTATACACTTTACAAGGTCAAAAATATTAGCCTATTCATCAACAATAAGTCACTACGGGTTGCAATGCATTAGTGAGATAGAATATTTAGGAGCGAAGCCCTTGTTCTGATCATCCTCCTAAACATCAAATCCAAACCATTCTCAATGCCTTCAATATTGCAATCGAAACCCTCCATGCAAATTCGAGGTTGATCTTTACTTGTTGCTCCTTTCTGAATAAATTTTGAGACCATGGACCATTTAGTTTCAGACTTCGACTTTGGAATATACACCGAAAAAAACGACAAGAGCAATCCAAACACAGAAACGCTGACTTCACTAGCATCTCTTATTACTCTAATCACAGAAGAGAGATGTGTGTCGAGATTCAAAGGTTTTGAGCCGTAAAAGTGTTCGATTTGCTTTAAATTTGCAACACTGGTTTTGGATTCCTTCTTCAGTTTCTTTAGGAAAGAAACATCTAAGATGAAATCACTCTTTTTCCTCCTTAGAGCTGATTGAACATCTCTTAGATGTTCCTTCACTTGTGAAACTAAGTCTCTAACAGAACCACAGATGTCCAAAACCCTCATTGATCTATCCAGCAACTCGTTGACCAAGTTCTCATGTTGATAGTGAGAAAGGGCTTGTTGGGTGTGTGGCAAACTGAGAAGATCATCAACGCATGTGTACAATCTTTCCAGACTTGCAAGACCACTTGAAATTTTTTTAGCATCAAGAATACGCGAGGTAGATGACTCCCATGTTTTGAGATTGGTAAGCTCCTCTTCTACTTGAAGAGTGCTGCGATGTGGTCTGGTTGGCAAACTAATGGATCGAATGGTCTGACGATTCTTACATAAAGAAGAAGAAGATGATGAGAAAGCCATTCTTTTGGTTAGGCTTGGCCAATGACTGAAATATTTGGGATGATGTAATTGATGTTTTGTTGGCGTTTGTATTTATACAAACCGAATTAAGTTGGGGTAGATTAATTATAGAAATGTGAGGAGCATGTGAAATCGCATGTGCAATCCTTCCGAACCGCTGAACTTGCATCTAAATCGGCCTACATATCTCTGCTTTCTTCGGTGGCATTTGGTGAGAATGAAGTAAAGAAAGTAACGTGAAAAACAAGGCTATTAAATTAACGCATGCCCACGTATGGCTTGTCTCGTAGGCAGCATTTATGAATCCGTGTTTACATTTCTTTAATTAACAATTACACGTGAAGGAATATGACGTGTTTTCTACTTTCTAATACACGAGTGGCTTGTTAGACGAACCTCCAAATCAGATATAAGTGAAACTTCATAATAATACAATCCCTTTCTCTTTGAAAAAAAGACTTCGCAACAGCCCCTATAGTTTAGAAAGAGGGAAAAAAAACACGGCTCAACCTATTAATTAAGCTTTCAAAGAATTAAGCAAAATTTAGCCCCATTCTGAAAATAACTACTCTACAGTTAAATAAAAGGAAAAAAGAAAAAATCAGCTAAACCTATTAAGGCTTTTCCAAGAATTAAACAAATTTTAAGCACATTCCGCAAATAATCACCAATTTCACCTACGAAGAAAAAACCGTTTAACCAAAAATAATAATAATAATAATAATAATAATAATAATAATAACCTTTTTAGACGATTTCGTAGTTGGCACCTACAAAGTGGTCAAATTTTTACATGTATTTATTACTAAATTTATGGGCATGTTCGGCAAAACTAGCTTGTAGCGGGTAGTTTGTAGCGTTTTGTTAAACGCTACATTAAGTAACTTTTGGATTTGAAGCGTTTTACTTAAACTAAATGCTAAAATCTTGCAGTGCCAAACGAGGCGTTCTGTTCAAAACGGAACGTTTTGTTAAACGCTACAAGCTAGAAACTCTCAAACGATTTATGTCGAACACGCCCTATATGTTATTAGATTTTACTATTAAAGGTCGGGTGTTGTAGGCGTTGTGGTTTTTATGTTTGAATTTTTCAGTTTCTTGTTGAGTGGTAGACACAAATTAGAGAAAACAATACACGGAAAAAATACTATACCCAAGTCATAAAAATGTTACATACAAAAAATCATCCGCAAAAATGTTACAAACAAGTCATTCTAAACCTGGGTCGTACTAGATCCTCATGTATATTAGACATCTTATGACAAAAGTTCTAGTAAATGCTCGTTTTGCAACTGCTATAGATAAAGGATGGTCTGATACTATCAACCTTAACAAAATGCCTACCCAAAGGCCTTCATGGAATCCAATTTCCTCGGGCAGTACTACTATTGGATTCGATCTAACATTACAATGTTTTCAGTTCTAAGATGTGGAGTCTAGTTTCCCTCTACGGTCTCTTAAAACAGCCTATCTTAGTAAGACGACCAACAACCACTGGTATGTGCAAATATTTATAGGTAAATATATCTGTGCAACGTTAACAAATACATAAATTAGTTAACTTATAAGTATAAAAAGGATGTATGCATATGGCCTAAGTATACTCATCTTAGAAAGATTCCACCAAGCTTTCATAATATCATGTCAATCAGAACCCCCAAATGCATATTTTTCTCAATTTTGACCCAGTTAGAAATAAAAAAACATAGGTGGCATTATCGTCTACAACACATCTATTAGGCACCTCTCCAACAACAGAAACATCCATGTTACAATACGTTGAAATTATATTTATAAGATAACATAACGGAATTAATAACAATATTTTATAACATAATTTGACAATTAGTTTCCAACTCTTATTTTCTCTGTTAACTAACTCCCATCTTTCGCATCTCGACCATATAGTAAATCCCAAAATTTGCTAGTCGTGGGTTCATAATAAAGCATGTGGACAATATGTATGGATGCAACATGTATATAATACCATCCGATGACACTATGACCTTGGGGCACATATGGTTTATTAGACAAATTATTATGAGCATAGGGTTGAAGTTGTAAATATATTTAGTGTATATATATATATATATATATATATATATATATATATATATATATATATATATATATATATATACTCATTGTGTAATCTAATATACAATTCAATCAATACAACTTATTTACCAAGTTATATCGGTATCAGAGCTAATTTTTGAGTCAGCCCTAGGTTACAGACATAGCCGCCGATCAGATCCAATTCACACAAGTCTGGGACGATCTTCACAACTAGTCAATAGATGGCGACCATCAATGCCTTCTCCACAACCGAGAACACCTCACACAATTCTCATAAGTTCCCTTTTACCCTATCTCGTACTAATTATGGTTTCTGGAAGATTATGATTCAGCCGTTCCTTGTTACCAACAATCTTTTTGGGTATATCGATGACACTATTACGTGTCCCACTCAAACCCTTCTAGCGGCTGACAAAGCTACCACCGCAGACCTTACACCAAACCCCTCCTACACTGCATGGCTTGTTAATGATGTTCATGTATGTATGCTTCTATTATCCACCATCTTTGAAGCATCATACCCTCATGCACAAGGAACGACAGCCAAGGAATGGCTTGCTACGGAATCTCTACGGATCAGCTACAGAATGGGATGCCCTGGAATAGCTACGGAATAGCTACGGATGCGGGTATGTATCTATTCTGTAGCTAATTAGCTATGGAATAGCTACAAATGCAAATCCGTAGTTATTCCGTAGCTAATTAGCTACGGAATACCTACGGATACTAATTACCTACGGATTAGCTACGGAGTATGTTTTCCGTTAGAATTCCGTAGCTAAGTAGCTACGGATTACCTACGGATTTTTCTTATTTTCAATTTTTCGGGCACCAAACGTCGTTTTTTTCGCTTCGTTTTTTTCACACCTCGAGTATACATGATTATCTTTATTTTCACCAACTTGTAGCTATTAATATCGTTCATAAAGTCGTGTGCCCCTTCAGGATCAAGTACCCGTTTCACAATTTAACATTATAATGTCTATACTTTTCACCAACTTGTGATGGATTATGTTTGTATATGTATATTTATATACATGAATGAGTTTGTGGTATATGTGTACGTGTATATGTGTATGTATACGTGTTTGTGATATGTATGTGTATGTATTCATAAGCATTATAGTGTTAAACCATTAAACG